TTGTTTTACATTAACTGACTCTTGGCTGAAAACAATGACGCCAAGAAGCCAACAAGGAAGTAACTTTTTTCTAATTAATGTAGGTGGCGCTACTATTACTACATTCATACCGGCTTCAACAATAGGTATCACAGCCACAAAATAAAATACACTGAAAACAGTACTACCATAATTACATTTACAGAAATTCAAATACATAATTCCAATCTTATTTTGCAATTTTTATTTTTCTGTACATCTGGTAACATTAACTTGTAAGTTTGATAATTAGACTTTCTTTCTTTGTTTTCTTACAAATCTTTAAACTCAATATACCAAGTCTATATTTTTAAACTTTTTATCAGACTTCATGAAACTAATGGCTTTTTTTTTAAATTTTTGACGCTGATTCTGAAAAGGACTTACGTTATTGTCAATCACATCAGAGTTTCTTAAAATATAGTTATTTTAATATTTTTTAATCAATGTAATCAAGAATCAACAATCGTTTAATAAATTAAAAATTTAATGTTATGTACCAATTTTTATTCTTTTTTTACACTCAATCGAATAGAACAAATTACAAGCTGATAAGGAGCATTTATTTTAAAATTGTGAGTAATTTTTATGTGAAGAAAATGTCTAAGAGAGAATGATTTGAAATAATACTTTTAAAATAAGTTGAGTATAATATCTCCTATATAACTTAAATACCGAGCAGAATAAAACTAATAGTTAGTTGTTACAAACACTTGTTTAAATATAAATACACATCCTATAGGATGAAATTCCTCAACAATAAATGTTTTTATTTGCAATTGATTTTATTCAATTCAGGATTAAAATTGCATACTATACTGACTTATTTCTAAAAAACTTAAGATTTCTGAAATTCGCAAATTTTTGAAGTAGTGAAACATAAACAGCTGCGTAAAAATGCTCGTAACCTTGAACAAATTGTCATATAAACTTGAAATCGGATTTAATTTAATTCCGCTCAATATTCTAATAAGAAATAACAATCTACATAGTAAATAATTAAAGTGGGTAAATTGCGAAAAAATAACATGAAGTGAAAATAGCAGTTTCATGATCAAACGTGAAGAAGTGAGCTAGTACAGTGAGCTAGTACGTTTTCAATTATCAAATATCTAGCAAACTATTGTTATCAACAATTAAATAAACTCTGTAGTTTATTAGTAGAGATTACTTTTTCTTTTAGGTATAAATTCAGATCTATTTCCTAGGGGAAGGCTGAGCAGTAGTTTGCTAGTCTCTTCTTCTGTGCCGCAGCGCATGTGCTATTTACAGCCTAGATCAGCTCAGCAATGGATGGTGTTTTCAATAGGAATGTAAACAATAACAATCTCGAGCTTGGCACCTACTCTAGTTCCGGTTAAAAAGTTTGCAGCTGCTTACTACATGTTATTCTGATAGGCGATGTTTTCAAACGGATAATTTTGTTTTCAATAAAAGAAATAAATTAGATAATTTCTGAGCTCAAATATGCCGTATTTCATAAGATATTAATGTTATTATGTGATTCTGGGGAGTTTGGAGTGAAAATTTGCTTTAGTTATTTTGTTATTTATTATTTAAAAAGGTGACATGGTTGCTAGATTTTGAATAACTCGCTTCTTTGGCAGTCTTGATTACTGTTTGTTCGTGTTGCAAGCTGTGCACCATCTTACGTTAGTGTTAACACTTTTAGTATTGTAAACACAAGTATTGTTAGCATTGTAAACATAAGTAATAAGTAATCAAATACATTGTTTGCAAGAATCTCAAAACACAATGATGCCAAATGCCTTTAAAATGCAACTGAAACAGTAACCCGGAAATTTAGGCAGTCCCGAGCTTGCAGTGTCCCCTAGTGTCGAAAACACCATCCATATCAGGGAACTATGGGTAAGCCTTGTAAATATATATATATATATACAATATATATATATATATATATATATATATATATATACCATATCTGCTATAATTTTTTATATTCCATCATAGGACA